GTTACAGCAGATTAGACACAGAGAAAGATATGTTTAGTGAGTTGGGAATCAGGTTGATAGAAAATACCCAAACTAATCAACAGATAAAAATGAATGCTAAAAACAGATGGGGGTGTGTGCAAAAAGTCTAACACACAAGTAATTGGAGTCCCATAGGGGAGGAGAGAAAGAATGTACCAGAAGAAATGTTGGAACAGGTAATATCCAAGAATTGTCTAAAAACTGATAAAAGGCATCCATTTACAGATTCAAGAAGGTCAGCAACCCAAGCTTGTTCAATGTTCAAAAACTCAGTGTACTCCATTGTATTGACAGTCTAAAGAAAAACCACATCATGTCAACCAATGCAAAAAAAGCATTCGACACATTTCAACACCCATTCATGACGAAAGCTCTAAGCAAATTAGAAACATAAGGGAGTATCTTCAATCGGATAAACAATATCTACAAAATACATTGAAACCTGTGAGAGCTGGAACGCGATGGGACTGCCTTGTCTTTCCGGGTCTCACAAGTTGTCTACCTCCGACCGTGCAGTCTTGCTACTTTTCTATCACTCATTTTGGGGGAAAATATTTGAGTTTTCCTTCTCTGACAAGTTTCCATTTTACATAAGTTCGGGCTTCAGCAGGTTTACTGTACCTACAGCTGAGACCATATTTAATGGTGAAAGACTGAGTAACTTCCCCCATAAAACCGCGCAGAAGACATGCATCAACTCTTGCCACTTTTACTCCACATTGAACTAGAGGTCCTTGCCGGTGCAATAAGGCAATAACAAGCAATAAAAGGCAAAAAAGACTGAAGGGAAGAAGTATCCCCTTCTGTAGTCAAAGACAACATGACCCTAGGGAATTTATGAGACAATTTCTAGAACTAATAACACATGCGTTTAGCAAAGTCACAGGCTTCAAGGTCAATATATCAAAAAATAAGTATATGTAGTAGCAAGATGCAATTGGAAATGGGAAAAAAATACCATTTATAGATTAAATGCAATCCTAAAATACTGACAAGTTGGTTATAAAAATTATATGGAAGTACAAAGGGGCTTAGAATTTTTAAAATAATTTGAAAAAGAAGAACAAAGTTGAAGGACTTGTGTTACTTGATTTCAAGATTTATGACAAAGTCACAGTGATCCGGACAGTGTGGAACTGGCATAAAGAGAGGCAAATAGATCAATGGAGCAGAACAGAGAGCCCCAAACAGACCTAGACCATCGCTGAGTTAATTTTCAACAAAGGTGCCACGATAATTAGGTAAGAGAGACAAAGGTCATCTTAATAAACGATGTTGGAGCAGCTCGATATACACATGCAGAAAGAGCACGGGCCTTCATCTCATACTATGTATAAAATTAACTAGAAATGCATCATAGACTTACACATAAAAGAAAAATCTAGAAAATGTCTACAAGGATACATAGTAGAAAATCTTCATGATTTGGGATAAGCAAAGATTTCTTAGGATGCAAAAGGCATGAACCCTAAAAGAAAAAAATTGGTAAATTGGACTTCATCAAAGTTAAAAATGTCTACTCTCCAAAAGACATCATTAACAAAAATGAAGTAGTAACTAGGAAGCACAGAGAATTCTTACAACTCAAGAATATAAACAACCAATTTAACAAATCGGCAAAAGATTTGAACAGACACTTCGAAAAAGAAGAGATCTAAATAGCCAATAAGCATGTGAAAAATTGTTTCAACATTATTTTTTGTTTTTGTTTTTTATTGTACTTCAGGTGAAGGTTTACAGAACAAAGTTCAACATTATTCACCATGAGGAAATCAAATCCACAATTTGATGCTTGGTGCATGCATGTAATTAAATTAGACGTAAAAAAAAAAAAAAATCATTTGAAAATCTCTAAAAACCAACACAAACCCGTTACTGTCGAGTCGATTCGACTCGTAATGACCCTATAAGTCAGGGTAGAATTGCCCTATAGGGTTTCCAAAGCTGCAAATCTCCTCGGAAGCAGACTGCCACATCTTTCTCCCATGGAGTGGCTGGTGGGTTCGAACTGCCAACCTTTTGGTTAGCAGCTGAGCTCTTAACCACTGCACCACCAGAACTCCTTGAAAATCTCTACGTGTTTGGAATATACGTCTGAATACCCTACAGGGACAATAAGAAATCACAATGGAAATCAGAAAATGGAAGATAGTTTCAACTTGATAATAATGAAAATTAGTATCTCCAAGTTCTGTTATCTCAAAACTTGTGGGATGCAGCTATGGCCTTGCTTAGAGGGAAACGCGTGCATTAAAGAGGGAGAAACGCTCAAAATCAGCGCGCTGAATGCTCATCCCCCCAAATTAGATAAGCAACAAATTTAAAAACCCCAAGAAATTAAAAGCAAGGAAAAGACATAAATTCATGAGATAGAAAAATAAATTAATTAAGAGATGCCCAACAAATGACCAGTGCCAGAAATGAGAAAAGGGGTGTCAGCTCACGTTAGGGTGACCAGCTTGTCCCGGTTTGCCAGGGACTCTCTGGTTTTAGTACTGAGAATCCTGAGTCCCGGAAGCCTCTCAGTCCCGAGCAAACTGGGACAGTTAGTCACCTCCCCCCACCCCCGATCCTGCAGACATTAAAAAGATAGAAGATACTAGGAACGGCTTTATGCCAATACATTTGACAATTTAGATATAATGGACAAATTCCTATGAAAATACTATTAACTCAAATTGAACCGAGAAGAAGTACGTCTGAAAGGCTGGCGGCTATTCAAGGAAACGCTGCAGAATCGGTCTTCCCCCGTCAGCCTTCCTCCTCCAGGACGCCCCCTGCCCCCACCGCTCTCTGTCTGCGCTGAGACGGGACCCTCTGAAAATCCCCGAAAAGTCACAGGCCCCTCCAAAACACTCACATATGCCCCCTGCCACCCCCCATTCGCAGAGAATTTCAGGGGTCTTTCCGCTTCCCCAACCCAACTGTGCTCACCCAGGGCCCGAGCTTAAGAATCTTTCCCACACCTGTGCCACACCTGTCCCACATCTGTGCCACACCTGTCCCACACATATGCCGCAGTTGTCCCACATCTGTGCCACACCTGTCCCACACCTGTGCCACACCTGTCCCACACCTGTTCCACACCTGTCCCACCGGAGCTCCAGTGCCAACTCTGAGGTGTGGAGTGGGGAGAGATTCCAGGGACACTGTGCAGAGGTTGCTGGGGGAGTGGGGTGCTGAGGGGGAGGGAAGTCAGGGAGGGTTCTGGGGTGTAGGGGCATGCTCAGTGCATGGAGACTCCACTCTTGGTCACCCTCGAGGCTCCCCGTCCTCAGGCCACACCGTTCGCAGGCCCTCAGTTTCCCCATCTATCGCTGGAGGGGCAGAGGACCCCTCGGCCCCCTGCCCAGTCTGGACAGGCCTATCTGGGCGTCTGTGGCACCTGCCTGCCTGCCGCTGGCCCCGGGTGTAATTGCACCCAGATCTCAATCACCACAGTGCAAACAGCAGGTGTCGGTGGGCAGCCCAGCAGACCTGGCAGTAATCCCTGCAAGGCTTAGCCTGGCTTCCAGATGACAATCTCACACGCACTGTGGAGACTTGGGGCGAGCAGAAGCGTCCCTCAGCCATGTTTACCCAGCCTCAATGCCCACCGCTCAATGTTGGCAACATCCTGGGTCCTGCCCCAAACCAGCCTGTAACCACAGCATCCGAGAGGGTGATGAAAACCCCCAAGGGCTGACGTACGGGTCATGGCCAAGTGTGTCTCATAAACTGTACTGTGCACCTGCCCCCCTACCCCTGCACCGTTTGTTTGCCCAGCCCTCAGGACCTCACGGGCTGAGATTCCACGGGAGCCGGACGGAGAGCCAGCCAAGCTCAAGGGGAAGGCACCGCCCAGCCTCCTCTTTGGTCTTGTTGAATCACCTGCCCTTGTCTGTCTGTCCTTGGGTGCATATGTGCATGTGAGTGTGTGTGTGTATGTGTGCCTGTGTGTGTGTGCACCTGCAGGTGTGTGCATGCTATATGTGTGCACGTGTGTGCATGCAACGTATGCGCGTGCGTGTGTGTGCATGTCTGTGTGTAGGATGGCTGTACCAGGCTATTTAATCCCCTGCCACCAGCAGTGGGTAATTACACTCCTCAGGTGACCTGTATTGTTTACGCAGGCCCGTGTCAACGCCCTATGGCACAGCTGTTAATAAACAGCTCAGAGTTAGCTGGTCCATTGAGGCTTCACGGGACTACCCAAGAGGTCATTGGAGGTGGAGAGTTCCTGGCCATGGTGCCCGGGCAGGGGTGGCAGTGCAGATGGGAGGTGTGGGTGTGAGGCAGGTGGTGATGTCACAGGGCTGGGCGTTGGGCTGGCGCTGGGACCAAGGGCAAGGGGAGAGTGTCAGGGTGATTCCCAGTCATTACTGTTACTGTTACTGTGAGGTTGTTGTCGTCAGGGTGACTCCCAGTCACTACTGTAACTGTTACTGTGAGGTTGTTGTTGTCAAGGCGACTCCTAGTCATTACTGTTACTGTTGCTGTGAGATTGTTGTCATGCAGGTGGGTGCTGTGAGAGACACAGAGCCACAACTTCTGGAATCAGAGTGGACCACCCCCCCCCCCACAGGCAGCCGATTGTAAGCGCCTCTCCAGGGAGTAAATGCTGGTCATAGAATGCCTGCTGGGAACTAGAATCCAAAGTACTGTGCTGGGGAGTCTGCAGGGTTGTCTGCCCCCACCCCCGCCATGTGCAGCTGCAGCCTGAGGCTCAGAGAGGGCTGGTCACCTGAGCTCCTGCAGCATGGAGTGGGGCAGGTCTGGGTCTCGGACACCCAGTCCAGGCTCCCCTCCCGAGGGGCGTCTACACTGGTGTGTGTGTGTGTGTGTGTGTGTCTGTGTGTGTCTGTGTGTGCACGTGTGCTGTGAGCGCTCATGCTGAACATGTGAGTAGTTGAAAAGTGGCCCTTGGAGCTGGGAGGTGCTCAGGTCGCCCCCTTGCAGTGCCCTGCTCCACCCCCGCCCAGTGCCTGCAGCCCACTGACCTGGATCACGGCATCGAGTCCCAGCTGGGGCCGCTCAGCAGCAGCCCCGTTGCCAGGTTCGCTGGAAGCAGAACTCATCAGAGAAGGAGAAGTAGCTGGCTCCCGGGTGGGTCTCCCCTCAGGCCTCCCTGCAGGACGCTGGCCCACACCTGGGAGGCCCCCGGCTACTTAGCCTGGTCCTCCTGAGCTGGGCTCCTGGCTCCACTCACAGGAACACCAGCCAACTGAGCCCTGGAGCGTTGCTGTGGCAACTGCGACGCTGAAGCTAGTTGTCTTGGAAACAGGAGTGCAGGGCCCGTTGCCATGGGGACTAGGGAAAGCTGTTGGCTGGAAGCCATTTCCCTGGAGACCTGGGGACGCCCTGGGGAACTGTCCACCTGAGAGACCATGCCCAGGGAGGGGCAGGGACCGTTAGACCTTCCCTGACACTGGGCGGGGCAGTGCTCAGACCACCTCCCCAGGTCTAGAATTACAACTTCATCTAACATCTGGAAGAGCATTACAGAGTGCAATCCGGTGTTACAGACTGTAGACTGAGGCCTGCAGCCGGGAGGCCACCTGCCTGAGGCAGACCTTGGACTCGGGGGAGCCCTACTGGAACTGTGATTTCCTTTGTGGGGAGATGTAATCTGTGGGAGGAGCCCTGGTGGCTCAGTGGTTAGGAGCTCAGCTGCTAACCAAGAGGTCAGAGTTTGAATCCACCAGCCACTCCTTGGAAACCCTATGGGGCAGTTCTCTGTCCTACAACATCAATATGGGTCGGAATCGACTCGACAGCAACAGGTGTGTGTGTAATCCGAGGGCAGTGTATTTCATACTTGCTGTGTGACTTCGTGGTTCTTCCTACTCCAGAGAGTCACGGGGGCCCTTAGAGGGACCAGGTAGTGGGGGAGGGGCGCTTCATTTTGCGTTTTGGAAAACCCCTCTGCAGAGACATCCCAGGCTGCAGGGTGGGGTTGGGCTGAGGGCTAGGTCAAAGGCAAAGGTAGCAGTTTCCATGGCCACGTGGGACCTGACAGACCGCCTTGGCTCAGCCCCACCTGGGCTCAGCTTATTCCAGCTCCAGGCCAAAATATCCCCCCGGGACACCCCCTAAGGTCCCTTCCTCAGGAGGTGTGGGGTGACCAACAGTCCCTGTTTGCCTAGGAAAGAGGGGTTTCAGTGCTAAACTCGAGAGTCCTGGGCAAAATGGATGGCTGGTCCCCCAGGTGAAGGGGCCGCCCCCCTGCCGTCCCCTAAGGCAGACTCTGCTGGGTGCCCCTCCCCCACCTCCACTTGACCAGGCGTCCTGTGACGCTCCCACTAAAGGTGGCATGTGTCTCCTCTAAGCCCCACCTCCACCTCATCCCCCATTCCTGTTTTCTGCTGGTCCCTCTCAAAGCACCCTGATGCTGTTACTTACCCTGCGGCCCCCTCACCCCACAGCCCCCAGTGGCAGAGCCCCCGGACCCCCGACCCCCCCAGCCTCTGCCTCACTGCTGGCTGGTTGCTCTCCTGGTTCTGGGCCATCCTGGCCTGGAAGAGGGGCCCGAGGGTAGGGGATGTCCATGGAGTGAGGGACTGCGGATGGAGGCCTCACCAGGAGGGGTGCCCCATGAGGGGGGCGGTGGGGAGGGCGGGGCGGGGAGGGGTCTCGCACAGAGGAGGGCAGGCTCGATCTTGGCCCCTCTGGTTACCTGGCATCTGTGTCAATGCTGCCACTGGCCTCCCCAATCCTAAAGGGGCCACCCCAGGCCCCCCAATCCTAAAGGGGCCCCCCTGGAGCCTCGGCCAGCTCGTGCCCCCAGAGTTGTGGAGAGTGCTCAGTGTCCAGCAGGAGGAGCACCCTGGCCTCACCCACCATTGTCCCTGTCGCTGGGCACCTCGACCTCTTCTGGGACCGTCTGCCCAACACGGGCCCCTGCTGCCCCCTCCCTTACAGAGGTCACCTTGGGCTTGGTCACTCCGTCCTTGAAGCAGGGCCCCTTGGCCAGGAGTGGCTTGGCCTCCACTGTGTACAACACCAGGAGCATCACTCACAGCCGCTGGACCTCCAGCTCCTGGAGCCCCGGCCACAGTGGACATGGTCACCCTGGGGAGGGGGTGGAGGTGGGGCTTGGCTGGGACAGAGCTGACCAGCCCCTGCCTGCCAGCCATACTTCTCCATGTCACCAGCTAGCCCTCGTGGGTCCAGAACCTGCAGCTGACCGAGTGCCTCCCTGGAAGGGGAGGGACCTGAGACCCACACGAGATGCATCTTGCTTCCTTCGTGAGGGCCCATGACTCACGGCTGTCACCCAGCCTCACTCCCTGGTGGACTGGCCTTGTCGAGCATGTGGCGTCTGGGTTCAAAGGCAGGGCACTTCCTGGGAAGAGTGAGGGGTGCCAAGGAATGAGGAGCCTTCTGCCCCTGCCAGTCCAGGCCCCAGGCTGCCTGTACCTGTGCTGTCTGCTCTGGATCTGGGCCTGGCTCACGGTCACTGTCACTGTCTGCTGGGCGACTCCATCTCCCCAGCTCACTGCCTGTCTTGGCCAATGAGTCTCCTGCAGACAGCCGACTACTGCATCGGCTCGGCTGACCCCTGTGGGCTGTGCCTGAGGGCATGGCCCCTGCAGGAGCTGGACCTGAAGTAGCTGCTGTCACTCTGTGGTTGTACCGGACACTGGACACGGGCTCAGGCCCCGAACTGCCGACTGTCTGAGGCTGACTGGTGGGCGCTGCGTCCTGGGTGCCACTGTGGTTTCTGGGCCCGTCTGGGTGGCCCAGCCACAAGGCAGCAGTGGAGGCCAGATGTGGGCTGGCCAAGTCAGATGGGCCTCTGGGAGGCTCATGTTTGGGGACACCACCAGCCCAGCTTCTCTGGGACACCTCCTAGTGGGCCCTTAGCCTGTGTGCTGGGGAGAAGCCTCACCCTTCCTCTTGGGGTCCAGCTCTTGGGGCCTCTTCGGCCCGGCCCACCATCTGCAGGACAGCAAGGTGGCTGCCAGCCCTGGTGGGGGATCCAGACTGTGGGAGAGAGGACCTCACCTAGCCCCTACCTCATATTCATCCACGCAGGGGCCGCAGGTGGGCCCTGCTTGGGGGGGTCCTGGGGGAGGGGTGACTCACGAGGGCCCTGCCCCCCAAGCCTGCTCCAGTGGAGCGTTGGGGTACAACAAGCACCCCCACCACGCAGGGGGCACCGCTTTCTCAGGGGTGATGTGGAGTTTACATGATCAACTCAGGTATCCACCTGTAATTAACATTTATAGTGGTTCGTTTTAAGTAAAACAGATGACTCTCTGTGGGTCAAAGAAGCTAATTTTACCCAGAGAATTTGGTCCTTGTCCTTGGTTCCTGAGAGAGAACCTCTAAAACGTTGGGATCCCCAGTGACTGAGGTGTCTTTGATGAAGCCTCCATACCATACCTGAGGGTTTATGCTAATGAGAGGCGTCTTGGGCGGGGGCTGCCCAGGCCAGAAGGAGCCCCCATGTGGCATCAGCCAACCTCAGCGCGGGGGAACTGATTCACTTAAGACCGTGATTCTGACTCACGGTGACCCAGGTGTGCAGAGTAGACCTGCACTCCACAGGGTTTCCGGTGCTGATTTTTCAGAAGTAGATCACCAGGCCTTTCTTCCTAGAGGCCTCTGGGTGGACTTGAACCAGCCGAGCACGTTCCATGAGTTTCCTGGATGGTGAAAGACATCGATGTTTGGCAGGGTGACACACCCTTTTTGAGACACGGAAGCTCTGTGTTGGGGACCCTCCCAGACCTCACCCTCCGTGTCTCTTCCTTGGTATCTGCTTTGCTAGAATAAAGCTGTAATCCTAAGGACGGTGTTTTCCTGAGTTCTGTGAGTGGTCTGAGCAAATTACTGAACCCGAGGGAGTAGTGGGAGCCAGCAAGCCAAAAGTGAGAGGGGCTGGGGACCCCTGAGCTTATAGCAGGCATCTGAGGGGGTAGAGGGAATCCCCAAATTTTAGCTAGCAGGTTAGAAGTGAAGGTGTTGTGGGGACTCGGGCTGACTTGGCAGGTGGCAGTAGAGGCCTGTGACCTTTGATGTGTGATTAGGGAAGTGAAGGCATGGAGCTGTGTGGGGTGCCCGGCCAGGCACAGCGGGGAGGGCATGTAGAACCGGGGGAGGGGTGTCAGCCAAGGGGAGCCATGTGCCCGGCCAGGTGACATCACCGCGAGGAGAGAGGGAAGGACCACAGCCTGGCCTGGGGAGCTCTGGGGTCACCGGGAGAGGTGGAGGGCCCAGGCAGGCTGCTCCCAAGGGCCACCTCAGGTGGAATGGGGCCCGCAGGGTCTCCTGGGTGATTCCTAGGAGAGTAGGGCCCAAGAAACCAGAGGTATCGAGTCTGCCTCCCCGGACCTCACAGACCTAAAGCTCAGGCTCAGAGCCGGTGATGAGCTGCTCGCCCCAAGCACACGGCCGAGGGCTGAGAACCTGACGGTCCCAGGACTTCCGGCTCCTCCCAAGAGGGGAGGTGACAGCCCTGCACACCCCCCTGCAGGTCACAGACTCCTGGAGACGGAGGAGCCACACAGCGTGTGGGGAGGATGGTGCTGGGGGTCCAGGGCCTGTGGCTTCTGAGCCTGGGCTGCAGCCTGAGGACAGGAAGGTCAGGTCCCAGGAGGGAAGCCAGTCTGGCTGGAGCTGGCATGGACTGCCCAGTGAGGGGTGAGCTCCCCTTCCTGGGAGACGTGGGAGGAAAGACCCACGCTCTTGGGTGCTGCAACCCCACAGGGGGCTTCCAAACACCATCCTCGGATCCCGTTCTGCGCCCCGCAGCTCAGGTCCTACATGGTTGGGGGCTGGTGGTTCCCCCGGAGGTCTGCGGGGCGGGGTCCAGGGGCCGGCGCCTGGCGTCCTGGCAGCACCTGCTTGGGGGCCACTTGTTCTCGGTTTGCAGGGTCCAGTGGCTGAGTGTCCGATGGCAGGGCCAAGGGCCAACACCCATCCCGTGCTGGTTGGGACTTCTGCAGCCCTGAGCTGGTAGGCGGGACGGCAGGCACGGTGCCCAGCTCAGGTGCTGGGGGAGGGAGGCTCCCCTGCTGGTGAGGCGGCACCTCAGAGACCAGCGCCACCTGGGACAGAGGCGCCAACTCCACACCCAGGCGGGTGCCAGCTCCCCGAAGGCCCAAGGCTAAGGGAGTGGCGGCAGTGAGGGCCCCCGCCCAGAGGGCTAGATGCCCCGAGGCCCAGCTCACATGGTGGCGGGAGGCAGCATCCACCCCTAGGTCTCCTGAGCCGAATGTGTGGCTCCGGCATTTCAGCCCGGCAGAGGCACTGGAGGCGGAGACTGTCCAGGTTGTTAGAATTTGTTCTGCACATGCAGCCCCCAGCCTGGCTCACTGCCTCTGAAGCTGCCTGGAGCCGGGCTGTGGGAGAGGACATGGGGAAGACGGCTCCCACACTCCAGACCCTGGGAGGCCACCCAGCTGCCTCACCTTCCTCCTCTGTGCACTGGGCATGCTGCGTGTCCCCTCCAATCTCGGCAGAGCGGTGAGGGCCTGACTTCCACAGAGACCCGCTCCTGGGGGAGGAGGAGGGGGAATCGTCCGAAAACCATCACCTGCTCCCAGGGGCAGCGCCGTGGAGGAGGCCAGCTGGGAGGGAGGGCCTTGAGCGGCTCCTGGGAGAGCGGGGAGCAGAGGCGGGTGGTTCTGCAGGCCTGAGAGCGGGTGGAGCCCGGGCGGAGGCCCCTGTGACATTCCTGATTGCTGGTGACTGACTCTCCCACTTCAAAGGCCTTGGCCCTGCTCAGCTATTTAGCCCGCCCACCTGTGCCCTCACCCGGAATCTGCTCGGCGAAGCCGCCCGGCTACAGTACTGCCCTCACCGGCAGGTGCTCTGCCGCCCGCCCGCCTGCTGGCATGGCCGTGCAGGTGCCCCTGTGGCACCACTACCTGCACGCGGTCCGGTCGCGAGCGGTGCCCCGAGCCCAGGACTTCCAGCGCGCGGAGGACGTGTTGCTCACGGTGCTGGAGCGCGTGCACGCCCTGGACCCCCGCTTCCTAGTCGACTACTCCCGCGACCTGGGGGCCTTCCAGTTTGCGCTGCGCTCCTCGGAAGAGCCCCTGGCCCTGGAGGTGCCCCTGGGGCTGGATGCCGAGGCCCTCCTGATTGAAGAACTGAGTGCCGCCGAGCCTGCGGATGGCCCTGCCTGCTGCCGCCTGGGCGTCCCCAGAGAAGGCGCTGGCCTGGAGCGGTGGACGACAGACGACGTCTTCAGCGCCTCTGCGGAGAGCGGCGCCGACTGCCGAGGCCACATCGTGCCCAGCAAGGTCCTGCGTGTCCTCAGGGACCTCCTGGTGGCCGCCACTGTGTACTGCAAGCACCACAGCCTCATCACGCCAGGTAGCAGGACTGGCCCTCTGCGTGTGCGTGTCTGTGTGCATGCGTGTGAGGACCGGGTATGCATGTGTCTGTGTGCACGTGTGTGTCATTGTTGTGTAGGTATGCCCGGTGTGTGACTGCTCAGGGTGCGTGTGTGGGTGCACCTGTGTGAGTACACACGCGTGTGATCACTGTGTATGTGTGTGCAAGGATGGGATTGCTCAGAATGCGTGTCTGGGTGCACATGTGTGAGTACACATGTTTTGATCACTGCGTACGTGTGTGCAAAGATGGGATTGCTCAGAGCACATGCCTGGGTGCACAAGTGTGAGTACACTCACGTGTGATCTCTCTGTGTGTGTAGGAGTGGGATTGCTCAGGGAGCGTGTCTGGGCGCACATGAGTTGGAAGACGTTCTGAAGCCTTCTAGCTCCATATAGTTCTAACACAGCTTACGCATTTCGTGTGATCTAATTTTCACGAAGTGATTTTTGTAGCTAGAGTCTAATGGATGTTACCGTTTAAATAGCAAGAAACCGTATGACCAGTGTACTGATTTCCAGTCGGCTTGCTTGATGGGGATCCCTGACAGCGCTCTGGGCAGGTGGGTGTGTAACTGGTCACAGCCCATTGGTACAATCCTCACGGCGGACCCCACTGTGGTGTCTGGTCACTTTGCACCAGGTTGGGAGGAGCAGGTGTGAGCACGTGCATGCGTGTGTGTGCGTGTGCGTGCATGTGTGTGCGTGTGCATGCTTATGTGAGTGTGTGCATGCAGGGAAGCGTGTTATGATACGCTTGTGTGTGAGTGTGCATGTGTGTGTGAGCACGCGTGTGCGAGCACGTGTGTGTGTGTGAGCATGTGCGTGTGTGAGCATGTGTGTGAGTGCACGTCTTTTTCCATCGGTGGCCATGTTGCTCATTGGTGTCTTGGGTGCAGAGTGGCCCTGAGGCTGAGGGGGGGCTGGCCTCGACCCCTCCCCCCGTGCCTTGCTGACGTGACTGAATCAGTAGGGTGTGTCTTAGGGTGGCAGGACTCCAGCAGGAGCCACCTGTGCAGCAGGGACCTGGGGACCCAGACGAATTTCCTGCTTCCCTTGGACAGGGACAGGCACTTCCTCCCCTGGGCTTGTTGCCCCGAGTCCCCAGACATCTGCCCTGGCGTTGGCTCATCTGAGGTGCCCAGCCTGTGAGGTCGGGGGTGGGGACTCCCGGCATTGGTGCCCAGCCAGCCAGGTGGCACAGGGGTGGGGGCTCAGTCACCTAGGCCACAAGGACTGTCCTCTCCTCCTGGGCACGTCCTGGGGGTGTGTCAGGCACAGCATACAGGGGGCACCTGGCTGGGTTGCTGAGAGGGGATTGAGAAGACCTTCTGGCTTCTGGACTGACTTTCAGTAGTGGGAAGTCCTGGGCCTGGGGCACCACCCCTGTCAGGGACACCTGCACAGCCATGGGGAGGGCCCCTCCCCAGACCAGCCCTGTGACCAGGGCAAGTGCCCACCTCTCTCAGGGGATGGTGAGCAGCCCCCGAGGGCGGCGGGACCTGTCATTAGGTGTCTGGTTCCCGCCCCTGTCCCCCCATCCTGGCATCTGATCTAGTCATCCACTGAGCATGTAATTACCGTGGGCGACTTGGCGGGACCGTGTCTGTGGTCTGATCTACCGTGGCCCTTCCCACCTGGCCCTGTCCCCAGCAGGCCCACCACCCCAGCTGGGGACAGGCCCACTGCTGGTGTGAGCATCGGGTACTGTCTCAGCTGCCAGCCCCCCTGGCCAGCGCAGCTTGCTTCCCGGTGGAGAGACACACCCGCCAGGCCGAAACTGCACTCGGCACGAGGGAATTGCAGACATTGTCCTGGGATGCTCAGCTGAGAGGGAGGCTGTAGCCACGGGGCCAGACACAGGCTGCCTCTGCCGGGGGGCTGTGAGGCCGGGGGGCTGTGAGGCTGGGGCACAGGCTGCTTCTACCCTGGGGCTGTGAAGCCAGGGACTGTGAGGCTGGAGGGATGTGAGGCCAGGGGCTGTGAGGCTGGGGGGCTGTGGGGCCAGGGCCTGCGAGGCTGGGGCACAGGCTGCTTCTACCTGGGGGCTGTGAGGCCGGGGGGCTGTGAGACCCAGGGCTGCGGTGGGCAGGGGCACGGTGGGCACCGCTGGCTGCCTCCCAAGCTGCTGCTCATGGACAGAGTATGACGGCCGGCCGGCTGAGAGAGGAAGTTGGCTTGGGATGGAAGGAGCCTTGAAAGCCGAGTAGCAGGAGGCCCCTTCTTCCACTGAGGGGAAGCTGAGGGGCTGTTATACCCGTGGGGCCTTCCCGGACACAGCCTGCCACTGGTCAAGGTGGTCGGTGGCCAAGGCACTGCTCTGGGAGGGGCCGCTGGGCGCCATCAGCCTCTGGGGGAGCAAGGGCCTCGTCCTCCAGCAAGGGCTGCTGAGGCCTTGTCTGGGAGAGGGGCAGAGCTGCTCCGTGGACCTGCGGGTCTGGCCTGGCCTGTCCTTCCCGGTGGCTTCCTGGGTGGTCCTTCCTATGGCTACCACAGCGGTGGTTCCCATCTTGGCCCCCAGGCAGGAGGGAGGGGCTGGCTGTGTGGTGTGAGCCTCTGGCTGCCGGCAGGCCTCCCTCAGCCTGGCTGTGCCCTGGGCCCTGCAGATGCCAGCTCGGGACCTTAAACTCCACCTGGTCACCGAGGCTGCAATTGCTCCTGGCTCCTGGGCTGGGGATGAGCAGCCTAGGCCCAGGCAATGCCAGCAATACCCCCAGACCAAGGGCCTCCCCGGGCTCTGTCAGGCACTGCCTGGGGATGTAGTGTCCTGCCTCAAGGGGCCGTGGGTCAAGACATCCGGGGGGACCCTCTGAGACTTACCCCTGTCCCTGGGGGCAGGAGAGTTCCCCACACCTCGGGCTGCACAAATGGACTCAGCAGGTTGAGAAGGGACATTCTTAATGAGGCAGCTTGAGCTCACACGCGAGAGCAAATTCAAGCCGGGTCTCTGCCCCGACAGGCCCCTGAGTGGATGGGAAATGTGGGAGGGGGCTGCCGTGGGGCCTCTGTGTGTGTGTGTGGAGGCCTGGGAGGGGGGTGGGGGAAATGTTGGGGTGGCTGACATGGGGCCTTCGTGTGTGTGGAGGCCTGGGTGGGGGAGGAATGTAGGGGGGCCGCCTTGGGGCCTCTGTGTGTGTGTGGAGGCCTGGGCAGGGGGTGAGGGGACACAGCCCTGCCTGCCCTCTGGGAGCCCACGTCCAGCCCATCTCAGGTGGAGAAGACAGGGCCACATTAGGTGAGAGGATGTGGGGAGGCCAAAGGGACGGGTCACAGGAGCCGACATGGGGACCTACGGGGAGAGCTCGGTCCACACGCATCTGTGGGCTGCCCCCTGCCCCACCCCTCTTAAGTCCCTTGTCTGACCTCAGGGGCCACGGCTGCTGCCCTGAAGGGCCCACACCTATTTTTTTGGGCTCCCTCCAAAGTGAGAAAAATGTGACCAAACCAGAAGGGGCGTTCCCACTTGGTCTCCATCAGGAACAGTGGCACTTAATTGTAATTGCATAAGTGCCTTTCAGAGTGTCCCTGCGAAGGGGGCACAAGGGCCTCAGGTGGCTCTGGGCCACCTTGTCCAGTCAGAAGGAGGTACGGGTGCCAGACGGGCCGAGGGAGCCCAGAAGGTAGCCGCCTCCTCTGGGGAGGTTGGGCATTCTGAGAGGGGAGCCCAGTGCTAATGGGGGAAGGGTGGAGGGTACTGGCAGGGGTGGGAGGCGTCTGAGGGTGCTGTCCCTAAGAGTGGGCGTGGGCGGTGGGAGAAGGGGGACAGAGGCCTGGTTGAGGGCTGCTGTGTGTCCTGCTAGGGAGGCCGAGCTTCCTCTTGGGCAGGGTGAGCCCTGGAGGGTTGGGACAGGGAGTGAGTGACACCGTTGGATTTCCCAGACTGCTGCTTGGGGTGGGGCCATTGGGGCATGGGGCACCATGGCAGCCAGGGCACCAGGTGGCCCTCAGAACCACCCCACAGGCTTGAGGCAGGTGGGGGCCCTGCCAGGCCCCTGACCTCAGCCAGGGTTGGACACTGCAGGTGTCCAGAGCAGGAGGGCGCAGACGTCCAGGGCAGGAGGGTGCAGGTGTCCAGGGAGGGAGGGTGCACGTGTCCAGGGATGGGGGGTGCAGATGTCCAGGGATGGGGGGTGCAGGTGTTCAGGGAGGGATAGAGGAGGCTGAGAGGTGAGATGCAGCTGCCTGTGTGGGTGTGGGTCAGGGTGGCAGGGCAGCAAGGACTGCAGGTGAGCAGTGCTGAGAGTGGGTGGTCCGGTGGGGCAGGGTCAGCCCAGAGCTGGTGGCCCATCTCAATGCCAGCCCCAATGCAGGCTCGCTGAATGCATCCAGCCTTCGGGAGGAGGAGCTCCGCTTGTCGCTGCTGGTGTCCAGCGGCTGGAGGACAATCCACTTCAACGTGGTGCCTGTGGTGAGGAGGAGGTGCAGGGTACCCACCTCGGAGGGGACCCCACTGGCGACTGGCTTCCCTGAAGGCAGCCTGGAGAGAATCCTGGACCAAGGGGTGGACCTGGTGCCGGCCGGCGCCCAGCATTGGAGGTAGAACACAGCTGGTCTGTGGGTCCTGTGGGTGGGTTTCTGCTCAGGCAGGGGGTCTGTGGGGCCAGTCCACCTCTGCCCCCTGGGGCATCTGTATCACGCGGGAGGTTGTTGGAGTCTCGGGGGGCACCCCAAAATGCCCAGCGTCACCCCTCTCTGAGTACGGAAGTTCACTCTCTCCTGCGCACCAGGTACCTGGGCAGGGGTGGACTGTGAAGAGGGGTGTGGTCGGTCCCAGCTCACAAGGACCCACAATTGAGAGGTGAACTGGGAGGGCCTCGCCCAGCCTGCTCCCTCGCTCGCAGCTGAGGAGGCAGGCACTTGCCGTCACAGGCTCCAGGTGGCAGAGCGGTCTCCACAGGGAGGTGCCCGAAGCCAAGGAGACTGAGTGGCTCTGGGGCACCTATGGGCTCTTCCCTCAGGGCCACCCTTCACACATCACAGTGCCTTCCTTCCCCACGAGGGTTCCCCCAACCTGAGGTGTCTAGGGAGCCCCCTTGTCTGCCCGGCCCTAGGGTTCCAGCAGCCCGTCTCCTGTCCCCAGGAGGCCCAAGGGCTCTGTGGGGGCCCCCATCTGCAGGACAACGGTGGGAGGAACCCCAAGGCAGTGTCTGTTAGAGAGGAAGGGGGAGAGAGGGAAGGAGGGAGAGGGAAGGGTCCAACTTCCTGTCTGCACCGAGAGGGGCTGGGCTGGCTTGGGGTACCCTAAGTCCTACCCACCCCTCCCCCCGCCCAAGTCCTGGGGCCGGAAGTCTACGTAACAGCTGACCTTTTATCCGTAAAAGCCCACAGAGGGCCATTCTGAAAACTCAGGGAGGTCTAGGGTGCATCCAACAGGGAGTCCATGTCACGACAGGGGCCACCGTCAGACCTGGGCAGTCCCACGGGGATCAGGGCTTCCCGATATTGGGGGGCTTCTCTCGAGTGGTGACTTGGGGGCACTGGTGGCTCCTGGTGCTGACTGGGGTGCGTCTGGACTTCAGGGCCTCCACTGACCACCTGCTGACGAGGCTGCTGGGCGCACTGGGCTCCCTCCCCGGCCACCGCCTGGACAGCCTCTCCATCCTGGACCGGGTCAACCACGACAGCTGGCGGGACTGCGGCCGGAGTGCCGGCCTGGCCTTCAGCCACATGAAGGTGGGTGTGCTGGTGCCTCCTGTGAGCCAGGGCTCGGAGGCAGAGGCCTATCTGGGGGTGCCCCGGGCACGCCTGAGGTGGGGTACCCACGACCGTTCCCATCACCAGCTGTGAAAGATCATTCAGCAATTTCACACTAATGGCTATTTTCTGTAGCTAGGACCCTGGTCCAAGGCAGGGGTCCACCTTGTCTCTCCCCTATAAGCTCTGGAGCGAGCTCTGCATGGGGGACATGGGGGCCTGCCTGGGTGGGAGGAAAAGAGGCCGTGGCCCGCGAGAGGCACTGGGCAGGTGTGCGGCCGCAGGGTGCCGGGCAGCGAGGCCTGTGCTTGCTGTCCCTCGCCAGGACCATGAGGTCCTCAGCTCTGGATCCTCTTGTTGGACTTCGGGGTTGGGCCAAGCCCACTCCCGCCCAGCTCCTCAGCCCTGAGAGGGCTCTCTCCCTCAAGCGGAACCAGCCTCCAGGAACACTACCCCTTCTCGGGGGTTTACTGAGCCCCTGTGACCTGAGGGGAAACTGAATCCTAAGAGGGCTTTGTGAATTGTCAGGAGCTGAGAGAATCCAGGGAGCGGCCCCAGGCTGGGCAGCATCTGGGCATGACTGCCCCTCCCCACCACCCCTGCCCCGCAAGGAGGTGAAGGGGAAGCAAGAGGGGCTGCAGAGTCTCGGGGCTCTGCCTGTTCCTCCTCCCCAAGGGGGCACCGCTGCAGCACCTCGTGGTGTGAGGAGAGGGACGGCCACCACCTGGCTCCAGGTTCAGGGAGAGGTGTCCCCACCCGGCCTCAGGACACAGTCCTGTGCGCATCCCTGGTGTGGCCTGGGGTCCTTCATGCCCTCTGGGGGTCTCCATCCCCACCCCTGTGCTGGGGGCCGGCTTCCAGCAGTCTTTGGGTCTCCCCTACTGTGGCTCCCAAGCCCCAGACTGAGCTGAGGGGCGATGGGAGCGGCAGGAGAGGATAAGGACACAGAAAAGTGCATCCTGTGACAGGAGGGATCCCAGGATGCGGTTAGGGGAGAGGAGGGGCCCCAGGATGGGGGCTCAGGTAGGAGGGTGTCTGGACAGTCTGTTCTTGCTACTTTCAGAGGTTTGTCTGGGCTCTGGAGTCACAAGCACACAGACCAGGGCTGGAATGATACCACCATGTGGGCCCTTTGGATGGGGCTGCAAGGGATGTGTAGGAGTTCAATGAGAGGATACATGAGGGAAAGGCCCAGGGGCATGGGCAGGTGGGAGTGTGAGAAACCCTCGAGAGAGGTCCTGGGTGACTGGCATGGGGTGCCTTGGAGAGTGGGGAGAGGTCAGGCTGGGGGCTGTGTTCGGAGTGGGCTTGGACTCAGGCTGCAGTGTTCCAGGAGAGGCAAAGGGAGCAGAGCGTGGGTCAGTGCTGCAGGTGGGGGGTGTTTTAGCCTCAGCACCACCACCAGGCCTAGGGCAGGGGCCGCCAGATGGGGAGGGGTGAGGGGGGAGGAGGGGAGGGGCTGGGGAAGAAGTGCTGACAAGGGTGTCCAAGGTGAGGTGCAGGCAGGTGGAGGTGGCTCTGTCCAAGGTGGGGTGCAGGAGAGTGGAGGTGGGTGCAGGCGAGTGGAGGCAGGGAGCATGTGGGTGGAGGCTGGGTGCAGGTGGGTGGAGGCGAGTGCAGCTGGGTGGAGGCGGGGTGCAGGTGGGTGGAGGCGAGTGCAGCTGGGTGGGCTCGGCCAACCTGCCACCTCCCCGCCCCGCAGACGGTGCTGCTGTGGGCCTCCGTGCTCTTCCCAGCGCCTGCGGACTGGGCTGACCTGGAGGGCGCCGTGTACCGCCTGCTGGTGGTGCTACTCTGCTGCTTGGCCACCGGGAACCTGCCACACTTCCTGTGGCCAGGCCAGAACCTACTGCAGGCCAGCGGCCTGGACCTTGGCAGCCTGTACCAGCGTGTGGAGGGCTTCGCCAGCCAGCCCGAGGCGTCTCTGCGCATCCACGTCACACACCTGGGCTGCAGCCCCCCGCCGCGCATCGACAATGGCATCAAGGCCCTGCTGCAGCTGCCCGCCAGCGACCCGGCCTACTGGACCACCGCCTACTTCGACATCCTGCTGGACAAGGTGGGGGTGGCCGGCTGGAGGGGCCACGTGGGATCAGGGCCACACACGGTGGGCACAGAGTCACGGTCCAGCACCCCCCACCCTTAGGTCAGGACCCGCCCCCCAGGTCAGGAGCAGGCCAGGCCTCCTTCAGACAGTGACAGCATTTACTGGGGGAGGGGGTGACGTCGAGGGTCAGACGGGTCAGGGGGTGCCCCTGTGGCCAGTGATCCTGTGGCTCCAGGGCCACTTTCTGGGAGCCAGGGTGGCATGTCCGAGCTGGTGTCTGCTCTCCACCAGAATCACCCCCAAACCCACTCAGGGAACACTCATTGCCCCACACTCCCACCCTGGGACTCCACTCTGCAGGGAGGGGTCTGCCTTCCCTGCCCATCACTAGGACGGTTTTCCGTCCCTGCCTGTGACTCAGTTCCCCCCTCCTCCCCATGCCTCTTATGACCTAGCGTTTAGGGGTGTCTGGCCTCTCCCCCCGCTCTGGCCCCTACTCCTCCTGTCTCCAGCCCCATGGCGTCCAGTCCTGCCCCTCTCTCCAAGGGCCAACCCCCCACAGCAAATGCCTCTCCTTCCCGGCACACCCTACGTTTCTTGGCCCGCTCTCCTGGCTCTAGCGCAGCGAGTCCCCAATGGTGACCTTGTTTTAGCCATACTTCCCACCTGATGGGTGCTTATAGCCTCCTGGGGTCACCCCAAAGTCTGCAGACCAGAGAGGGGCAGGACCTGCACTGGGCTCTCAGCAGACCTAGGTGTTCTTGGGGGGATGCCAGTGGGAGGGGTGGAGGAAGCAGAAAGGGGGGGTAGGCGGCAGGGGGAGGCTCTCAGCAGATCTGGGTGTTCTTGGGAGGATGGTGGGAGGGTGGAGGTTGGCAGTGGGAGGAATGAGGGGTAGCCCTTGTAGGGGTGGCGGGTTGGCAGTGGGAGGGATGAGGGGTAGCTGTTGGAGGAGTGGGGGGTTGGCAAAAGTGTGGGCTCTCAGCAGACCTGGGTGTGCCTGGGGGTGGTGGAAAGGGTGGGGGTTGGCAGTGGGAGGGGTGGGCTGGGTGTGCATGGGGGGAGGGGTGATGCGCAATCAGCCTTCAGTAAGCCCTAGCGAGGACTCCTCTTTGTCATACCCATGCCGGGACCCTGAGCACTAGGAGGGTTCCTGGAGGAGAGGATGCTGGGCCAGGCGGGGTCCACTTATGGGAAGGATGGTCCAGGCAGAGACCCAGAGGCAGGAGGCCAGGTGGTCAGGGCTGGGCAAGTTGTCCTGCACTGTGTAAGGGGTCACTATGGTGTCCAGGGCCCATGACGAGTGATGGGCTCTCAGATGTCTCTGTCATCCTTCTCCCCAACCCCGCCGCAGTTCCAGGTCTTCAACATCCAGGATAAGGACCGGATCGCGGCCATGCAGAGCATCTTCCGGAAGACCAAGACCCTGTGCGGTGAGAAGAGCTGAGCGGGTACCCCATGCCTCCCCATGCCACCCACAGGAGGCTCCGGGACATACAGGGAAGGGCAAGGGCTTCACCAGGAGATAGGTGGTGGGTGGTGGAGAGACTTGACCCCAGGGACCACCCTCAGACTGTCCAGAGGTGGCCTCGTGAGTCTGGGGGTTCTGGGCAGGTGGGCTCTCCTGGACCTGCTGCCTTGTCCTCCGGGGCGAGGGCCTGGGACAAAGGTGCTGTTGGCTTCGTGTGATGCCACGTTGACCCCAGTGGTGATGTTGTCAAGACTCTGAAAACGGAGTATCTGCGTGCACCTGGAGCTCAGGGGCTTGTCCCTGCCTACACCACATGGTTCTTGCAAGGGATGAAATAGTATACACTTGATCGGGAATAAACTAATGCACTGGACGTGCACAACCAAGGTGGCATCCACTTCGTGCGTGCGTCTGTGTGGAAAATATTTTCCCCTAGAAACAAAGAAGTAGAAAAGGCTATGTGTAGACAATTTCAAACCTACCTCATCCTCCTTGAGGGTCTAACCCTCTCCCCAGCAGGTGACCCCACCTCCCGTTTCATAGAGGTGGGACATCCATCGCTCCTGTTGCCAGCCTCCCACCCTGCCCCGCTGGTGCTGGTCCAGCCCACCTGCCCTGGCGCTGGTCCAGCCTGACTACCCTGGCGCTGGTCCTGTCTGTTTCCTCCTGTCACAGTGGAGGCACCCTCTTCTCTCCTGTGTAAGAGGACTGTCCTCTGGCATCTGGGCATCACCCCCTCCCATCCGTTCTTGTTGCTTCCTTTGCCAGCCCACATGCTCTTGACAGCCCACTGCAACCAGGCTGCAGCCCCTCACTCCGGTGAACCACCTGCACAAAATCGCCAGTGAGCCCCTTGTGCCCCAACCCAGCACATAGGTTCTGGTCTCCGTTTGCTCCGGCCTTTTGGTGGCATTTGCTCCTCAGTTTCTGAGACACAACCAAACTCTGGGCTCCTGGGAGCACAGCCTGCAATACCACAGCAAGCATGTAGCAGCAACTCCCCCAGACTTCCTCCTAAGGGACCTGTGGCCACATGCCATAGTAACCGCACATGGAGGAAAGGAAATGACCAAAGCCTTTGCGGGATCTGAGATTCAGAGCCTGAACTGACGCTGATGCAAGGGGACACAAATGCCATCATGCCTCCCCCCTCCCCCTGTTAAAGTGGAGACTTGTGGAAAACAGAATCTTGGTCCAAATCTGACTCATAAGCCCGCCCTATGGTCCTTTCACTGGTGTTGAGTACATGTAGGTGACCACACTTAGCAGGAGTAAAAGTCACAATGTTGGAAAAGGCTAAAGGGAAGACCTTGAAACCACCCCTATTTCCATGGCCAAAACAGTCCATCAAAATGATACTGTATCCCAGATGTAATAGCAAAGCTTAGTGCTACCCTCGGAGACTTTAATTAATCCGTATGGCCCCAGCAAAAATGAGATGGATCATGGTGAACAACAGAGGATTCATAAACTTAGCCAAGTGGCAACCTGTAATCTAGGTGCTGTTCTGGGTGTGGTGTCTTTAGTAGAATAGGACAGCGCATCCTCTGGAACTGGCTACATGGCCGCCAATCTGGGGAATGTATTCTTTTCAATCCCCAACAGAAAGGAACATCAGAAACAGTTTTCATTCTCTTGGAACAGGCACGAATGTAAATTCACAATCTTGCCCCAGGTTGATGTTAATCCTGCTGCTCTGTGTCACAACACAGGCCTGATGGACCCTAATCATCTGGATTTTCTGTAGAATTTCATGCTGGTTCACTATATTGATGACATCATGTTTATCAGATCTAGGGAATATTCAATGTAAAGTACTTTGGATTCCTTGCAAGAGACATTCATTCCAAAGGGCTGGGAGATTAGCATTACAAAGTTTCAGGAGTCTGTCACATAGATGAAAATGGTAGAGGTTCAGTGGTCCTGGGCATGCTGAAACATTGCTTCCAAGGTGTTAAGGATTGAATTGTGTTCTCCCAAAATAGCTTTGGAATCTTAACTCCTGTACTTGTGATCCTGTCTGGGAATAGGGTTTTAGTATGTTAATGGGACCATATCAGTGTAGGGTGTATCCTAAACCTAATCACTTCTAAGTTATAAGGAGACACAGAGACAAGCAAGTACAAATGGGAGGAAGGCAGATGCCACAGGAAGATCACCAAGGGGCTGAGGGACAACAGAAGCTGAGACAAGGACCTTCTCCCAGAGCTGACAGAGAGAGAGCTTTCCCTTAGAATCAGTGTCCTGAATTCAAACTTAAGGTCACTATGAGTTGGAATCAACTCAACGGCAACAGGATTTTGTTTTTAAACTGTGGGAAAATAAAAATCTGTTCTTTAAAGCTACCCATTTACGGCATTCTGTTACAGTAGCACTAGATAACTAAGAAACAAGGTAAAGCAGAAGTTTTTGTATCTTGCCCTGACTACTATAGTTTACACAAGTAACATGCACCTTCTACATTTGTTTGCCAACCACGTCTTCCCCTTATGAGATATTTTCCCCCTGCTGTGCCAATTTTTTCTCACATGTGCATTATTTGTGTAAAAATATGGTACCCACCAAGAACAAGGACAGTTTTGGGTAGACTTATTGGATTTTGGAGGCTGCATACATACCTCACTAAGGATTGTTCATTTACTGGGTGACTCAGAGTGCTGTTAGTTCTGAGTGGGGGCCAGTGCATGAGTGGGCTCTTTAGCAGATTCTTGCTACCATACACCATGACGCTGGTGGTATCCATGGTAGAAAGGGGCACCCCAACAGGGGAGCTGATCACAGGGTTCTGGAGCAAGACCATGTCGTCTGTAGCAAAGAACTATTCACTGTTCAAAAGCAGGATTTGGCGTGATATTGAGCCCTAGTAGAGACTGAGCCCCTGGCCACGGGACACCGAGTGACTATGAGCTGAGTGTTACAAGGTCATAAGGTTGGGGTGGTACAGCAGCAATCTATTGTACAATGGACATGGTGCATTCCAGATCAAGTCAAGCAGGTCGGATGTAACAAGCCAGTAGTTACATGGACTGTGGCCTAGACTATCTTCTCATCACATCTGCCTGTCCCTCAGCTCACATGTCTATCTCTCTAGGGTGAGACACATGCAAAACTATGCAAGTGTGACCTGCAATCAAGAGAGGAAACAGTCAAAAGAAGCAAAGCCGGAGATGGCCCAAATAACGGAATCATAAGATAGGAACCGGAACTCTAAAACAACTATGAGGAAAATGCTAAAGTGTCTATTCCAAAAGGTAGAAAACTTGCAAGAAGAGATGGGGACAATTCAGCATAGATAAGGACACTACATATATATTTTAAAATGGGAGTGCTTGAAATTAAAAAAAGTGATACTAGAAATGAAGAATTCACTGGATGAGCTTGACAGAAGATTGGAACAGAAGAGGAAAATATCAGTGAACTAGAAGACAAGTCAATAGAAAAGATACAAACTAACGCAAAGAGAAAGTGTGGAGAAGATAGCACAGACTATTTGAGATAATTAGGATAATACCAAATTATTGGACATAAGTGTAGTCAGAGTACTGGAAGGAGGAAAGAGAGATAAGGGGGGTGGAAAAAATATTTGAAGAAATAATGGCTGAGAACTTTCAAATATTGTTGAAAGGCATCAATTCACAGAGTAAAGAGGCTCAGTGAATCCCAAGTGTAATAAATACCAAAAAACCACACTCAGGTACATCATAGGCAAACAGCTGAAAACCAAAGATAAGGAGCAGAGCATAAAAACAGAGTGAAAAGAAGACATCATATATGAGATACAATGCCATATAAATAATGGCTTACTTTTCATGGGAGCAATGCCAACCAGTAGGCAGTGGAACAACATCTTTTAAGGGCTGAAAGAAAAAAAAAGATATTGACTTAGAATTCTATATCCAGTGAAAAGATCCTAAAAAAATAAAGACATTCTCATCCAGAGAAGAGCTGAGAATTGGCCTCCAGCAGATCAGCACTACAAGAAATGCTAAAGGAAGTTCTTTATACGAAAGGGCATAACGCCAGATGGAACCCAAAATCTTCAGGAAAGAATGAAGATTACCAGAAAGGAAAAAATCTGGGTAAACATAAAAGATCTTTTTTTCATTTTAAAATACCTTTATTTTACATCTTAGGAGCCCTGGAGCACAGTAGCTAAAGCATTCGACTGCTAACCAAAACGTTGGTGGTTGGAATCCACTAGTCATTCAGTGAGAGGAAAGTGTGGCAGTCTGCTTCCATAAAGATTTATAGCCTTGGAAAGCCTATAGTGTGGTTGTATTCTGTCCTGTAGGGTCACTATGAGTCAGGATAGACTTGACAACAGTGGGTTTGGTTTATTTTATATCTACGAATGTGTATATAGTTTTTTTCTTAAATGTCATTAAAAGACTAGTGATTGTTTGAGGGAAAAAATAGTAATCTTTAAGAGAGTTTATGTATAGTTTTATACATGTATATATCCATATATATACACACACACAAACACACACATGTGTTATGTAATAATGAAATATAAACCAACAACATCACAATACGCAAGAGAAGAGTAGATGGAATTATACTGTTCTAAGAGTCTTAAAATGTGTCTGAAGTAGTATAATATTATTTGAAAGTAGATGGTGATAAGTTACATATGCATATTGTAATCTCCAGAGCAACCACTAAAAATAATTTAAAGAGGTATTGTTAACAGACCGATGCAATTTATAAAATAGAATACTATGAAATATGTAGTTCATTCAAAATAAGGCAAGAAAGGAAGAAGAGAGGAACAGAGGACAAGTAGGAGAAATAAAAATCAGATCAGAATTGGAGACTCAAACTCCTGTAAACGGGTTAAACACTCCAAATAAAAGTCAGAGGTTTTCAGAATAGATTTTTAAAATAGCAACTATACGCTCTTCACAGTAAATATACTTTAATTATAAAGAAAAGGTAAGTTGAAAGTAAATAGGGGGGAAGTATGTCTAACATGC